TTCTTCTCCTTCCCTTCTTCTCCTCACACCTCGTTCAACCTCAGTCCCTGTGGGGTCTCCCTCCTGGTCTGTTCTCAAGTCTGTCCACTCGTCTGCATCTTCCCGGCCTCTGCCCGAGTTCGGGACCTCATGAGGGCATCCCGAGGGGTCACCTGCAGCAGCTTCTTGCAGGTTCACTGCAGCCAACCTGCCCCCTTCCTGTCCACTTAAAAACAGTTTCAGAATATTGTGAGCACGGAGAAAAGTTTAAGGAATAGTATAAAAGCTGTCAGGAGGGGCAGTAAGGCTCACTTGGGAACTAGGAGGAGACGATCTCTTTAGTAATCAACAGTTTCGGCTCAAATCCTGGTTTTAGCACTTTCTAGCTGGGCAACGTGAGGCAAGTTCCTCGATTGCTCTATACCTGAGTGTCTTCACTGATGAAATGGGGGCGATGAGAGCGGGCACGCACGGGGCTGAGAGAATGATTCATTCATTTACAGGCTGTGTGTGTTAGCCTTATTCTCTAGCTTTCTCTAATTTTGTCAAACAGCCCAGTCTATTTTCTCCTCTTTCTCCAGAGCGAGCCATCCACAGTACAGATTGAATGCTGTCACACACCTCCCTAAATCCTCTGCTGGCTCCGCGTTGACCTCAGGACAAAGTCCCGACTCCTCAACAGGGCTTAACTAGAGCCTCCAAGGTCGGACCCAGTTTCATCCATCCTATGTGATGGAACGAGGCCCGGGAGAGAGGGCCCTCCAGCTGGGAAGGCTTCCTGAGACGCAGAGACAGGCAGGTGGATGCAGACACAAGCAGCTCGTGGCTGTGCGTAAGCCTTGGTCCGGCAGCTGGATTGCAGAGTTTCCTACCTTGGTTCATTAACTTCTCTGTATCTGGGTTTTCCCATTTGTCAGGTTTTAAAAGAGGTCGTGGCGGGGGCAGGGTGGGGCAGGGATTGAACGAGGCACTAGAAGTAAACTGAGAATAGTTCTGTGCACGTAGCGCTCAAGAAATATCCGTTCTTATTTTGGGTAAGAGTAAAGGTAAATTGGTGCAGATTGTGTGGACTCTCAAAGGCAGATGGTGGAGTTAGGCTGGGCTTGGTCAGATAAGGCGATGGGGAGCGTACCGGATAGAATTTGGGTTGAAGAACCTTCCCCGGGCTGCCCAGCCAGGAGGCTGCTGCTGGGATCAAGGTATGGGGGTGGGGCGGCCGCGAGACAGATCTCGAGACTGAAGGACAGATCAGATACAGGGGAAGAGAACTGCTTCTGAAAATTTCCACAGCAGCATTTTCTAGAACACTAGATCCAGAAACACTCCATGACATGAAAAGTACCTGTTCATCTAAATTTGAGAAATGCCACATATTTTCCTGTTTGAAAAGTCATGATGTACGCTATCAGGTTAAATCAGTCTAAGAACTCTGCAGTAAACAAATAGTTAAAATTTTGATAAGTCCAGTACTTCTGAAATAGTTTGATCACAGGACATCCCTCCCCCTCCTCCCCCAGCAATAACACAGATGAACATCTCGAAGAACAGCCTCTGTTGGGCAGGACCCCTCTGGAATCCACTGCCCTGGTACATGTGTGAACCGTACAAACAGTTCAGAGAGAAAAGGACACACACACAGAGCCCAGAATGTTACTATTTTCCCTTCCTCTGTTCGCTGGTGGGCTCAAGCAGTGGGGAGCCCGGGAGGACAGCTTAAAATGAAATGCATATTTCCCTTTCCGTGCCTGGTGTGAAGCTGCCTTTCTCACCCTGCCTCCTACACGCTTCCTTCTCCAACAGAGTTTGCTTGCCCTAGAGAGAGCCATCTGGATATTAATGTTACAATATTGACTCTTTCAAGGGACCTCCTTTTGGCATCCATTCTAGGTCATGGTGTTTTACTTCGGCCTCTCTGTGTTAGAAAATCATCTGACTTCTCTAAGTGGTTTCTTTGGGGGTAGTATTATTATTACAATTTTTCCTTTTCTCCAGATTCAAGGCTATTCTCCCCCCTCAAGGACTTCTTGGCATTTCCGTGAGACATATTATTCTGTTGTGCTTGAAATAGGTGGCATCCTGTTTGCACGGCAAACAGTAAAATGAGATCCCCCCTCAGGATCGCTAAGAAGCCTCAGGCTACTTCTGCCAGAAGGAATCCCATCTGTCCTGGGTCGGCATCTTGACCCAGGAGACGTGTCTGGACTGGAAAGGGAAATCGTACCAGCAGAGGCGATGCTGACTTTGCAGGTTCACGTTTGGGTTGTGATGTGAGTAGGTGCAGGTGAGAGTGATTCAGGGACGGCCAGAGGCCACGAGACTGTGTTAGCCATTGAGATTCAGGAACTGAAAATGGACTGCCCAGGCCGGTTCCACTTCCCTAAGTCCGGGCAAGTCACTCTCATGCATAAAGAAAATCCACCAGGGGATTCTCCTGAAAATCTGGTTGTTAACTCACATGACAGAGCTGTGAGGAACCACCCACGGGGCAAGCTCCCGGACCTGGGCTCCTGGCCGGGCTGCCATCTGCAGTTAGAGTTTGGTCCTCTTCTGTCTCAGACCTTCAGACGTGGTCTGCTCTCTTTTCCTTCCTCAGCAGGTCGGTGTCATCAGCACATTTCTGCTTGGTTGGCCATTAAGAAGTGTTCGTAAAAGGGAGGAATTTGAGGGTTAAACAGACCTTTGGCTTGGAAACCGTCTGCTACACAAAGCTCACCACATTCAGGTGCCTCTCTCCTGTCCACACCTCTCCCCTTTGATTCCAAGATTCTTGGCCCAATTTTCTGGGCAAACCAGGTTCTTTGGGGTTGGGATTCAGGTACCAAGCCCAGTTCCAGGTCAAAACTGCATCTACTCAGCCACTAAGTTCTGAAGCTCTTTTTTCCACCCTCCAATATGCTGATTTGGCCACATCCAGTAGCCTCCAATCCCACACCAGTTCCCCAGCAAGCTTCCCCCTCCAGCTGTGACTGTAATTCCGGAGCTTGCTCTGCAAGGATTGCCATGGTTTTCAGTTCTTAAGCCTCCTTTTCCTGGTTGGCCAGATAAGAAGGCTTTATCCTAGGAGACTGAGAAATAACCGGAGAGACACTTTAAAGGAGGCTTATTTCTGGAATTTAGGTAGGTGGGGATTGGTACTGAAATAACTTTAGTATATAAAAAGTAAGTGGGGGACTTCCCCGGTGGCGCAGTGGTTGGGAATCCGCCTGCCAACACAGGGCACACAGGTTTGAGCCCTGGTCTGGGAAGATCCCACATGCCGCAGAGCAACTAAGCCCCGTGAGCCACAACTACTGAGCCTCCGCTCTAGAGCCTGCGAGCCACAACTACTGAGCCCACGTGCCGCAACTACTGAAGCCCACGCACCTAGAGCCCGTGCTCTGCAACAAGAGAAGCCACTGCAGTGAGAAGCTCACGCACCACAACGAAGAGTGGCCCCCGCTCACCGCAACTAGAGAAAGCCTGCTCGCAACAACGAAGACCCAACGCAGCCAAAAAAAGTTTATATACCTTCAAAAAAAAAAAGAGAAGTGAGTGGGCTATCGTTCTGTTCTCCAGTGGCATATGAATTACTTGTGGCGCTGTTACTTGTTGATATTACTTTCCTACCCGACTGAGACCATACCATACTCAGCTTTACATCCTCAGAAGCTAGCCCAGTACTTGACCATAGAAAGTATTCAATGAATGGTTATTGAACACATTTCCCTCTTCAAAAATAATCCCTCAATGTGACCGGTTAACTCTATGTGATTATCTGCAGCACAGGGCAAGTTTCTGACCTCACAGACTAGCCCATGCTGGAACTGCACAACTCAGACGGGCCTCGAATGCGCTGGTCGGCACTCGAAACCAGCCAAAATTCAGATTGGGACTTGAGCCCACTGTCTTCTAATTGGGATTACATATCTGGCCTCAGGACTTAACGAAGCTCAGGTTCTTTATGTCTCATCGCAGAGAGAATTCAGCAAGAGACAAAGTGATAGGTAAGAAGTGGATTTATTTAGAGAGATGCATATTCCATAGACAGAATGCGATCCTTCTCAAAAGGCAAGAACGGCCTTGGGAGGAAGACACTCCACAGACAGTGTGGGCCATCTCAGAAGGCGAGAGGCCCCCAAATATGGCGTGGTTAGCTTTTATGGGCTGGGTAATTTCATAGGCTAATGAGTGGGAGGATTATTCCAACTATTTTGGGGAAGGGGCGGGATTTCCAGGAATTGGGCCACCGCCCACTTTTTGGCCATTTAGGGTTGGCCTCAGAACTGTCGCGGCGTTGGTAGGTGTGTCAGTAGCTAATGCATTACAGTGAACATATAACGAGGCTCAAGGTCCGCTGGAAGTTGAATCTTCCACCATCTTGGACCTAGTTGGTTCTAACCAGTTTTTGTCGTGTGCTATGGCTACGTCATTCTTTTAAAGGTTGCACCCTGCGCCCTTCCCTCCTGTTTCAATTCCACTAACAGGCACTTATTAACTTTTTAGGAGATTTTTCTTACGTGGAATTGAAATCTGCCTTTCTATTACTTTCAAATATTCTTCCTACTTCGCCCTCTGGGGTCAAAACTGCAAATCAAATACCTCTTCCTGTGTGATATTTGATATTCTAAGTCTCTTCTTCTCCATGTTAAACATTTCTAATTCCTTGAATTTTCTCTTACATGACAAGCTTTCTTAGTGCTCATTGCCTGGGTGACTCTCTTTGAATATTTGTTCATATTTATGAGCATATGTCTGAGTATTCTCCCCTGAAACCACTCCTGCTTATTTTTTTTTTTCTTTTTTGCATTACGCGGGCCTCTCACTGATGTGGCCTCTCCCGTTGCGGAGCGCAGGCTCCGGACGCGCAGGCTCAGCGGCCATGGCTCACGGGCCCAGCCGCTCCGCGGCATGTGGGATCTTCCCGGACCGGGGCACGAACCCGTGTCCCCTGCATCGGCAGGCGGACTCCCAACCACTACGCCACCAGGGAAACCCCACTCCTGCTTATTAATAACCCTTTTAAGGTGAGTGCCAGGAATTGCCCTCCAGGCTTTGGGGCAGGCTCACCTAGGCAGAGTAGCTGGGTGTAATCTCCTCCTTTGCCTTCTGCTTTCTTTTTCTACCGACTGATGGAGGAACCCGCAGAGCACTTAGATTTGTTAAGAGGCCACCACAATAGAGTGCAGATTCACAGGAATGCAGCCCTGGGGAAATGCAGGACAGGGAGGCTGAGTTTTGATGAGAATAGGATGGAGAACTATCTGGGGAGTTGGAGTTTTGTGGGAGAGGCAAAGCCGAGTTGGGAGTTATCGTGGGCGGAGAAATGGGGAAAGGGAAGGGATCCCGAAAAGTCAAAGAGGAAATAGGAGCAGGGGTGCCTGGGGAGGTCATCCCAGCCAGGAGGCCAAGAGGAAAGGCCTGGGGGTGTGGCGGGGAAGAGAGGGGTGCCGAGAGAACCTTCCCCTCGCCCATAGTCCAGTGCTTAAAAAGTCTTCGAAATGGCAACTTCTGAACTAAATCTGACGCTACAGTTATTGAGTTTAAATGTCAAAGAAAAAGGATTCCATTTTAATTTCATTTTCATAGGCTTCTGCTCTATGAATTTTGCATCAAAATGTTTTACATTTCCACTTATACAAAATGTATGATTGAATTCAGAATAAAAAATGATAAATTACAGAGATACATGTTAGATCTCCTATTCTAACGCCAGCCTATTAGTTAAGCAAATTCAGTCTTCAATTCAATTCAAATAGGCAAATATTTTCACTAGTAAAAAGCTGAAATATAAATAACTGGCTTATATCTATAGTTTTTTTCCTGGTCAGTTGGTAGGATAATTTGCTGTGCATTTGGTCTCTTTTCATCAAGAGAAAGCAGTGAGCCTCTAATTCCCTATCTATCACTATCTCTTCTCCTTTGTCTCGACAATTTCTTTCTTCAGAAAAACCTCCTTGGGATGGCTTAGCAGAACGAGGCTTCCATAGCTAGATGGGTGTCTTGGCAATCATCGAGTTCAACCATTATTTCATTGCAGATGAAAGGACCAGAGATTGCTTACTTGCTTGCAGTTACACAGCTAGCTGCTAGCCGACTGTTAGTCACTTAAGAGAGTGTTGTAATGCCTTTTCGTAGACTTCTGGCGTTTGTTTGGGTAATTCGTCTTCTGTGCCAGAATTCCCAGTCCTCCATCTCTCCTCCCCAGCTCCAGTGTTGCCTCCTCTTAATTACAACAAGTGTACACACTTGGAACGAACAGAGGCTCTGCCTTTTCTACAAGAAATGTGAAGACCACGCAGAGAGATTTAGGGACTATTTCTAACACATCATCTAAATCAGGTGGGGAATATTGGTGTGGAGGATGCCTGAGAGAAAAATACAAGGTGAGTATAGAGTAGGCAGGTTGCAACTGATTATGCTTTATGTCTAGCTAGTCTCTAGGTGCATCTGCCTGATGTAGACATGGGGATAGGGGAGAGCAGGGAGAGGCTGATGAGACCATTGTGTTTTTAACTTGATTCCCCTGGATGACTGGGAATGAATGGAAACTTTCTGAGTAAACATGTTAATTAACTTCTTTGTGACTCAGTTTCCTCGTCTATTAAATGGGGATAATCACAGTATCGTTTTTCCTCGTCCGGTAAGTGTGAGAATTGAATGAGTTATGCATAAAGCATACAGACTTCTGCTTGGCACAAAGTAAGTGCTATGTATGTGTTGGCAACAATAGTTATTATTACAGACGAGTATACCATATGGGCACAGAGGAAAGAACAGATAATTCTGGAAGATCATAGAGGAGATGACATTTGAGTTGAGCCTTAATATAGTTGTTTGCTGGCAGAGATAGGGCAGGAATAGGTACAGGAGAGGTTAATCCATGCAGACAGAACATCGCATGCATGAACAAGGACTCATGAAAGAGGATGGGGTGACTGGAAGACTAACAGTCGACCGATTACTCGTAGGTCCTTAAATACATTTCTTTCAAAGATGCAATAAAGGGAAAATTACCAACTTACTTGGAGAAAATATACTCTTACTGTGTTTTGTTCTGCCATTGTCCTGAAAGCACTGATTGCATGTGTATATGTGAAGGCAACCCCCATAAGCTGACGAAAGCTGTCTTTATACCTACAAGAGTATATAGACACTTCTATGTCCACACGCATACCAGTTTCTATGCATGGAGACAATTGTCCTTTGTGGTTGGTTTGGAAATCATCCTGTTCCCGGTCTTGTAAAGTTCAGACTTGTATTGACTGTCGTGATCACAGACTTTTAGACCACAGAGATGACATAATCCAGTGACCTCATTTTATAGCCAAAAGCCTGAGGCCCAGAGAGTAACTTGCTCAGCGTTACTACATCACCTGGTTAGTGGGAGAGCCAGGATGAAAACTGGGGTATTGTTATTGGCTGGGTTGTGTACCCCCAAATGCATATGTTGAATTCCTATTCCCCCAGGAGCATAGAATGTGTCTGTGTTTGGAGATAGGATCTTTTTTTAAAAATTTATTTATTTATTTATTTATTTATTTAGGGCTGTGTTGGGTCTTCATTTCTGTGCGAGGGCTTTCTCTAGTTGTGGCAAGCGGGGGCCACTCTTCATCGCGGTGCGTGGGCCTCTCACTATCGGGGCCTCTCTTGTTGCGGAGCACAGGCTCCAAACACGCAGGCTCAGTAGTTGTGGCTCACGGGCCCTGTTGCTCCACGGCATGTGGGATCTTCCCAGACCAGGGCTCGAACCCGTGTCCCCTGCATTGGCAGGCAGATTCTCAACCACTGCACCACCAGGGAAGCCGGAGATAGGATCTTTAAAGAGGTGATCAATTTAAAATGAAGTCATCAGGGTGGGCCCTAATCTAATGTGAGTGGTGTCCTTATTAGAAGGAGATACTGGACACAGACACCTGCAGAGGGAAGACCATGTGAAGATACAGGGAGAAGATGGCCATCTGTAAGCCAAACAGAGAAGTCTCAGAAGAAATCCACCTGCTGGCACCTTGATCTTGGACTTCTAGCCTCCAGAACGATAAGAAAACAAATTTCTGTTGTGTAAGTCACCCAATCTGTGGTGGGCTGTTACGGCAGCCCTGGAAACTAATACAGATGTCCAACTGCAGGATTCACACTCTTGTAACTACCTCTACAGATGAGTAAGATGAGGCCAGGATGCCCGGCAGGATTTTTCTGCAAGTCCTCAGCTGCTGAGGGGAGATCGGGGCCTGCACTTGGCACAGGGAGAGGCCTCTGTCACTCGGCCCTTCTCCAGCCCTGGAAGACTCTTGGAATGAGTGCCTACACGATGTACAACCACACCCTATGAATCAATTGGTACCCACAAGACTCCGAAGGAGTTTCACCAAGTCAACTCAATGAAAAGCTGACACCAATGGTATTTATTCATTGATAATAACGATGGTGATTTAATTTGGGTACAGTCGATAAATATTACTGGTTTATTTACATGTCTTTATCTTGATTGTAGTCTTGTCGTTGGCAAGGACTATAATAATGTACTCCTTTATGTATTCTTTGCTGTCAATAAAAAATCTTCATTACATGATAAAAAGAGAAATTATCAGCAATAATTCAGACAAACAGTGCCCCTGCTTTGGCATCAGCACAGGGTCGTTTAATTGGGGCCTCTTGGAAACTCTCTGACTCCCTGTTGACACACTGCCATCTGGTGGAGCAGGGCCTGTGGACCGCCTTTCACAGTCTGATGCGCCTGTGTCTTGACATATGTTTGTTCCCGTTTCCTGCTGCTTTTCCTGACAGCTGTCCAAATCCAAGGGTGAGATCCATGCAGGTCTAGGTCTTTGCAAAATACTGCAGGAAGCAACAATTGTCTTTGATTTTCTCCTGCTTTGCCTTTCAATGATGCTAGCAGCCTGGTGTTCCCTGTTTTTGGATGAAAACTTGAATCCCATTCACCATATTAACATCTCTCTCCCTCCCCCAAATCCCCTTTATTTGCATAGAACTCACAGTTTAGAAATTTCTTCTGAAACTACTCTCTCATTTGATCCTCAAACAGATTTTTAGAGTAGTCTGGTCTAGAATATTACCCTCATTCAACAGAAATTTATTGACTATTGATCATGCTCAATACTGGCATCTAGGGGCACAGAGATGGAAAGACCAGGGCCACCTTAATCCACTGGGTACACAAGGCCCAGTGCCTGGACTCCACAATATTTTTAGGGACCTGTGAAAATGTTTTAATCCTTTTAAAATCAGAACCAAAAAAATGAACTTTTAGGTGGAATAAATATCACTTGTTATGATGTATGATCCTTTTAATGTATTGTTGAATTCAGTTAGTATTTTGTTGAGAATTTTTTTTTTAATAAATTTATTTATTTTTGGCTGCCTTGGGTCTTCGTTGCTGCGCGTGGGCTTTCTCTAGTTGCGGCGAGCGGGGGCTACTCTTTGTTCAGGTGCCCGGGCTTCTCATTGCGGTGGCTTCTCTTGTTGCAGAGCACAGGCTCTAGGCGCGCAGGCTTCAGTAGTTGTGGCACATGGGCTCAGTAGTTGTGGCTCGTGGGCTCTAGAGCGCAGGCTCAGTAGTTGTGGCGCATGGGCTTAGTTGCTCCACGGCACGTGGGATCTTCCCAGACCAGGGCTCGAACCCATGTCCCCTGCATTGGCAGGCAGATTCTTAACCACTGTGCCACCAGGGAAGTCCCTGTTGAGAATTTTTGCATTCATATTCATCAGGGATATTGGCTGTAGTTTTCTTGTAGTGTCCTTGTCTGGTTTTGGTATCAGGGTAATACTGTCTTTGTAAAATGAGTTGGAAGTGTTCTCTCCTTTTTTATTCTATGGAAGAGTTTGAGAAGATTGCTACTAATTCTTTTCAAATGTTTGGTAGAATTCAACAGTGAAGCCATCTGGTCCTGGTCCTTATTGGGAAGTTTTTGATGACTGATTCAATCTCCTTACTACTAATTAGTCTGTCTAGATTTTCCTTTTTTTCATGATTCAGTCTTGGTAGGCTGTATATTTCTAGGATTTCATCCACTTCTTCTGAATTGTTCAATTTGTTCATAGTAGTCTCTTATGATCATTTCTATTTGTGTGGTATCAGTTGTGATGACTCCTCTTTCATTTCTGCAGTGGCATCGGATAGTCAGCCCTCTGTATCTGCAGATGCAAAACCTGCAAATATGGAGAGCTAACTGTTCTCCAAAGATAACTCATTAATTTTAAAAAATAGAATTTTGAACTCATATACTTAAACCTGTTTGAGGGGTTCCAAACACTTGCAATTATTTTCATTTTTGAAGCCCAAATTGTATTTTCTTTGACCAGCGAAAGCCTCTTTACTTTGGTTCCTGATTCCTTTTGGCAAAATCCTAGTAGTATTTGATAGCTTCCTTGCTATCTAGAAAGACAAGATGTTCTAGGCTTATCTTATACATTTCCTTCCCTAGACCTGAAAGTCAGCTGTTTTTGTCAAGAAGTACTAGCTTCTTTTAGTGGGAAACAGTGTTGCAAATTGAGATCTGATACTAGGTACTATGGTCTGAATTGTGTCCACCCACTTCCCCAAATTCATGTGTTGAAACCCTAGCCCCCAATGTGACTGTATTTGGCAACAGGACCTTTAGGAGGTAACCAAGGTTAAAAGAGTTCATAAGAGTGGGGCCCTAGTCTGATGACCAGAGAGTTCTACTATGTGAGCACAAAGCAGGAAGGTGGCCATGTACAAGCCAGGAAGGGAAGTGAATCAGCCAGCGCCTGGATCTGGGACTTCTAGCTTCCAGAACTGTGAGAAATCATTGTCTGTTGTTTAAGCCACCCAGTCCGTGATTTTTATTTTTTTTTAATGGCAGCCTGAGCAGACTAATACACTAGGGCTGCTTATTGTTCCTGGATTGGTGATTACTTCTAGCTTCTTTAATGGACAAGGCCAAGTAAACTTTATTCCACATTATACAGTTTACAGCCCCAGGATAAAAACACTGAAACTACCAACTAGATTATATAATAGAATATTTTTGTCACTAAACACTAATTCACTAAAAAGTGATTTAGTTATAATCACTAAAAGGTTGAAAGCTTTTCCCTATACTTTCCCCAGATAGCTGTACTGTATTTTTAGGGAGCATAGAATTGCCATTACACAATGTTCTCTCCCTTTTAATCTTCATTTAGACTTACAAGTAAGTATGGGCTTAATGCTCATCACCCATCTTTTATTTTTCTATGCATCTGGTGCCCAGGATCTTGAGTTTTCCTCCAGCCTTACTGACGTATAATTGACAAGTAAAACTTGTATTTATTTATTTATTTTTAATTTAATTTTTTTTTTTGGGCTGTGCCACACGGCATGCGGGATCTTAGTTCCCCGACCAGGGGTTGAACCCGTGCCCCCTGCAGTGGAAGTGCAGAGTCTTAACCACTGGACCACCAGGGAAGTCTCCCAAACCTGTATTTATTTAAAGTGTATAATATGTTAATTTAATATATATACAATATTTATATCTGTATCTATACTGTGAAATGATTACCACAGTCAAGCTAATCAACACATGAATCACTTCACATGGTCATCTTTTGTGTATGTTCTGAGAACACTTAAGATTTTCTTTCAACAGTCCTTGTATCATTCTCTCGCTAATCAATTTAGTCACCTGAAACAAATTCTCTTAAAGAGTCCTCAAGGAGGCCTCATGAGAACCATACTCCCTGTGTTCTTGACTTGATAACAGGAATATCACAAAAGTGATGCTGGGCTCTTCCCCTTGGATCGCATCCGGTAGCAGGTGGTGTTAATTTCATCCATCTCTTTTGCATTACGCAGGCCTCTCACTGTTGTGGCCTCTCCCGTTGCGGAGCACAGGCTCCGGACGCGCAGGCTCAGCGGCCATGGCTCACGGGCCCAGCCGCTCCACGGCATGTGGGATCTTCCCGGACCGGGGCACGAATCCGTGTCCCCTGCATAGGCAGGCGGACCCTCAACCACTGCGCCACCAGGGAAGCCCCCACTTCCACTCCTATCAGAAAAGATAAGCAGAAGCATTTTGCCCTCACCTGGGAGGAATAAAGGATGACCTTTACAGTTCTGTCTCAGAGCCTCGCCAAGTCTCTTGCTCTCTGGCACATATAGTTTAGAAGGACTTGACCATCCTGATCTCCCACAGAACATCATGCTGGCCCTTGACATTGATGACATTTTTCTAGTTGCATCCGGAAGATGGAATTACAAGGCACTCTGGTAAGATGCATGTGTGCTAGAGGGTGGGAGCTCAGAAGTGCTTGCTCTATCAATGAAACTTCTAGGGTCCTGTGGTCTGGGGCATATTGGAACAGCCACTGTTTTTTGTTTTTTGTTTTTATTGCGGTATAGTTGCTTTACAATGTTGTGTTAGTTTCTGCTATACAATGAAGTGAATCAACTATATGTATAATTATACATCCCCTCCCTCTTGGACCTCCCTCCCACCCATCTAGGTCAGCACAGAGCACTGAGCTGAGCTCCCTGCGCTATACAGCAGGGTCCCACTAGCTATTTATTTTACACATGGTAGTGTATATGTGTTGATCCTAATCTCCCAATTCATCCCACCCTTCCTTCTCCGCCCCCGTATCCACACGTCTGTTTTCTACATCTGTGTCTCTATTCCTGCCCTGGTTCTTCTATATCATTTTTCTAGATTCCATATATATGCGTTAATATACGGTATTTTTTTTCTCTTTCTGACTTACTTCACTCTGTATGACAGACTCTAGGTCCATCCACATCTCTACAAATGACCCAATTTCATTCCTTTTTATGGAACTGTTAAGCGAGGCACATGCTGCACCTCGCACTGCTCTCCACAAAGGAAGGACATGCTGTTTGTGGGCCTCTTTGGATTTTGGGGCTTCATATCTGACGTTTGGCCGTGCTGCTCTGACTCAAGCACTGGCTAACCCGTTAGGTCGCCAGTTTTGAGTGGAGCCCAATACAAGAAGCATTGGCAGAAGTCCAGTCTTCATTTCAAACTGTCCCACAAATTTCACTGTAAAATCCAGCAGACCTAAAATTATTGTATCTCTGGCAGACAGAGATGCAACCTCCAGCCAGCTCCCATACGAGACCCCAGGGCAAGGCCATGCCTGTTCCGTGAACAACGATTCTCTATTTGAAAATACAGCCAACTTGCAGCTGGGCCCTGGTAGAGAGGAGATGTCTGACTTACAGGACACCAAGTGAGTATGCAGCCTGAACTACTGACGTTGAACTGAGTCTTAACTGCTTGACTAAACTACAACACTCATAATACAACTAAATTCAACTACAGAGCAGCATGACAGTGTAGGATGGAAACAGTATCTATGAGGTCAAGCCTGAACACGCCCAGAAGGCCCAAGTGTTTCAAGTTATCTATGGCTGTGCAAGAAACTGCCCAGAACTTCGTGGTTCAAGACAAGCACTTATTTATATGTCAATTCTAATCTCCCAGTTTGTCCCACCCTCCCCTTCCCACCCTGTGTCCACACGTCTGTTCTCTGTGTCTGCGCCTCTATTCCTGCCATGGAAATAGGTTCATCTGTATATACACTACCATGTGTGAAACAGACGGCTAGTGGGACCCTGCTGTATAGCACAGGGAACTCAGCTCGGTGCTCTGTGGTGACCTAGATGGGTGGGATGGGGGAGGGGGTGGGAGGGAGGTCCAAGAGGGAGGGGATATAGGTGTACATAGAGCAGATTCACTTCACTGTACAGCAGAAACTAACACATTGTAAAGCAATTATACTCCAATTAAAAACAAAAAACAAAAACCAAGGGCTTGTTATTTCTCATGATTCCGTGGGCTGGGAATTCAGGCAGGACTTGGCTGGGCAGTTCATCGTCTCTATGCTGTGAGGTCCTGAATGTGCTCAGGCTGGATCATCTGAAAGGGCTTCCTTCACATGCTGGGCTCTTCAGGGCTCCTTCACACGGCCACTCTCTTGCCACGTGGCTGCTTTGGGTTTCCTCACAGCTTTGTGGTCTGTCAGGGTAGCTGGACTTCTGACCTGGTATGTGGCTTCCAAGAGAGTAAGAGTGGAATTGCCAGTTCTCTGAAGCACTAGGCCTAGAGCTGCCACTTCTGCTGTAAGGACTTGTCAAAATGAATCAGAAGGCCAACTCAGATTCATGGGAGAAAGGAAACTAGAGTTTAGGACCAGCAAAGAAAATGTGTCCCTTGATCTGCTTCACAATTTCAGGACAGAATAGCAACTCGTGGCACTTCTGACACAGAATTGAGGTCCAGGAGGCCCCGGAGTGGAGAAGAGGGGAACTTGTTAGCCAATGGGGGAATTCCTTAAACGTCTGCATTGAAAACCAATCGAATGGTACCTCCTGAGGACCTCGGGAGCTGGTCTGGGCCCAGGTGATGCTCTGAGCCTACGGGCCCCTCGCTGAAGCCGGTCTTCGGTGATGGAGTTTTTTCTGCTGATAGGGGGAGACGCGGCTCCACAGCACAGACGCAGTTCTGGCTTTCTTCCGGGAGGGGGCAGTGCAGGCCACACCGCAGGCCGAGACACCGCGGCTCCCTGACAATCCGCTCCTGACTGCAGCACAGGGTCGCTCCAAACAAAGCCGAGGCGGTTCGGCCTTAAACCTCCGTCGGGCGCCGGGCTGAACTGCTAAGAGGTGAAAAACCTGTGAGAACTCAGAGAAAGCCCGCTTGACAGTCTACACTCTACATGATTATCAAATCAGTTTCCTTGCTCATGAGATTTCTGTTAACTTTTAACACGTGATTGAGACTGTCTGTACTTAGAGTAACCAAAGCTGCGGAACACATGAGATGCTTAGGGTTACTATCTGAGACCTAACTTGGGTATCTCCTGACTTTAATATGTTTTCGTATCAGCCTTCTCAGTATTCAATATATCTCAGTTTTATCTAGTGCTGGGCATTTTTTTAAATGTGGAGGATAAATGAAAAATAGACATTTGTTTAACTGTAATCCCTCCCCCCGCTTTTGTTGTTGTTGAAAATTATAACTGGGATCATTGAGGAATCACTGTCCAGTGGGAGGTATGGTGAACTTGGACTCAGAAGACCTGGGGCTGGACTCGGGTCTGCAAAGTCATTAGCTGTGCATGGGGTCCTCAAGTAAACCACTTACCCTGATTCCTCATCTGTGAAACAGAAACGATGAGATATGTCCTTTTTTCATTCACAGGACTTTATGACGCTCCCATGAAGCAAGGTATTTGGAACTTTTCTATACATGGAAGTGTTCTGCACATGTAAGGTATTGTTGAATTACACTTTATACTTTTGAACTTAAATGTTTTTGAGGAAAAATGATAGAGGTTAATTGTAGAACAATTCAAACAATACTCAAAACTACAGAAAGGAATGTAAATCCCTCAAAATTTCACCATCAAGGAATTATCACTGTTAACATTTGAACATGTCTTCAGACAACTCTGCATGTACATATATACACATGTATATAAACAATGTTTCAAAAATTGAATTGTATTATACATTCTGTTATTTAAATGCCTCCCCCCACACCCTCAACACTGCATAATAGCCAATATTTATGAATCTATAATAATGCGTCAGGCTTTGTCTAAGCCTTTTAAGTGAGCCCTTATTTAATCTCAGAGCAGTGGCATTGAGTGTGTACTTTTTTGTCTGAGTATGTACTTTTATTGTAAAGACAGGAAACTGAGGTTCAGAGAAGCGAAATAACAGATTTTCCGATTTCCTGCCATTTTAAGGAATCTTACAACAAACATATTTGCTTCTGCTTACAGTTTTTCCCACTTTTAGTATGTCTTCAGCATTCTGTTTGTTAGTAGACAAATCAAGAGGGCTGCTTGTTCAAAAATGTCAATTCTCACACCTACAAATCTCTAGGGGAAGAGACATGGGTTGAGAATTTTTAAACAAGCTGTCCTTGGAGGTTGTTATATGTACCATCACGTTTGAGAACCACAACCTTGGTTTAAATTCCTAGATTGGGATTGCTGGCTCGATTTTGAACTTGAGACATAATGCCAAACGGCCCTTCAGAAATGTCAACCAGTTTCCATTCCCACAAACCGTGTGTGACTAATTTAGGCTCTTTTGTTTGGATCTCTCTGTATTCCACAATATTACCTTGTACATTGCTTCCTAGTTTGTCGTCAGGACAGTAACGTACTTGTAGGCTGTTTAGCGCACGTGTGTGTGCACCCACTAAAGTTTCAATTTGAGGTTGAGCACTTTTCTTCAAATATGTTAATTATTTTGAGGTTCAGGAGGCTTTCTGCATATTCTGTTTAATGATACCCTCTCTTTCTCTCTCATCTCTTCAACACCTTGCCTCATGTGCTGCTCTCTGTCTGGTCTCTAAGCCGTTGTCTTCGGGGCTGTAAAACCTACTTTTCTAAAATTATACTGGATAAATGAAGGTATAAACTCTGCACAATTAGTACCTCCAGATGGAAACAAATTCTCGTTCTTTCCACAAGAAGTCAACTACAGTCTACCCTCTGCCCCCCGTTGGATCCCCCTAGTTTATCCTATTCTTAATCTAGAGTCCTTCTGCTGAATTCTCCAAAGTCTTAATCCTACCAACTTCCAGTCTCCCCATGTCAGAACTAAAATCCTTCCCCTTAGCTACGTAAGCATCGTTCCTTTACTGAACTCCATATTTTGTAAAGCAAGATTCTCCTCGTACTAAAGTTCTAAATAAAACTTTTTCTCCTTTTCAAAAACTATCTTCCTCCTACCTAGGAAACTAGATTTCATTGAATTTCTTTGTCCTCAAAGTAAAGAGCTATTTCCTCTCCTAAAGGAGACAGAAAGACTTTTTTTCTTTTTTTGACTAATTCATTAACAACTAACCTTTGACAATTAAGATACAGACATCTTACAAGGTATACACAGACAGCAGCCTAAGAGGTCATGTACCCTGGAATATTTAGTAGGAGGGTGGGTCATCTCAGACTTAATATAAAGTTTACATTAGTCAGTTTATGACAATTATTATTTCTAATTGTTGTGTCTTAAAAACAACCTATAAATCTATGCAGAGAATAAAGCTGTGTAAAACTAGACATAGGTAGGTTATCGTTATCTGTATTTCATGTTGCCCAAAAAAATATAAAAATATCTTTTTCTTCTAATACATTTATGCAAGTGGGAGCTTGCATTCTAATACAGCTTTCTGAACCAAATCATTTTATAAACCCTTTTGGATCAGAGGATGTTAAATCCATGAATGAGAACATGAATGTGAAAGGAAAAATGGGTTAATACAAGCAGAATGTTGGGCTGGGGACCTGAAACTTTCTCTTCCCTTCTCTGAGCATTTGTTTCTCCCTGGGGCTGTCTCTATGTGATCTGGAAAGATAGTGAGCTGAAATTCCAAATAGTCTTTGACAATTTCACATGAGACTGAAAAAAATAAAAGGATTGTATGGTTTTGATTTTATAGAGAAGCATTCTGTGCAACAGCGATTTAAAGAAAAAGCTGTATTCGCCTATATTTGGTCATTCAAATAATGTATCAGATTTCCCGAAAATGAGGACACAGGCGAACAGGAATGCTAGTAAATTCCAGGAGAATAAACACTATTCGGTGATTTCTAGTACTGCTGATTTTATTTTTCAACATTTAACAAACACCAGTCTGGCTTAGTTCTGGCGTGGTCTCAACCTTGAGAATGTAGAATTCAAATGAGCACAGAATTGTCTCAGAGACATGGCTACGCCATCTTCATACCCATGACATTTTGGACTGAAGATCTGTCAGAACCCCTCCCAAACATTAACTGATAAAAATCAAAACCTCCTTCAGGAACTGATTTCAGAAGAGAAAATTAAAACCTTTTGAGCTATATCCACTTACTGTCTACCCTGAGAAAACAACCCATTGTTCTGCTGTACAAATGACTAATTTGACTAATTTTTTCCCCTGGCTTGGCAGAATCTTTTATCGAACTGATTGAAATGACCAGATGTTCTGCAGCTTATGTAGACATAATCTAAGAGACTCAATAATTGACTTAAGTAAACGTATCAGGATGTGGACTGGCAATAGAATTTGAGGATTCTCTGTTCTGTGATGACTTCAAATCCCTTTTTAAAAGGCAGGCTGCTTGTGTAATTGAAATGCGCAGAGATTGGCACCATCTCAGTCATTTACTTTAGTAATTTATAGCCTATTTAGATCTGAGCATCTCTGTAACTTTTGAAAGAAAGCAAGGAAAAGCTTCAGTATTAGAGACCTATAAAAATTGTCTGTGAGGCTGTCTGCTCAAAGTGAAATGAAATACTTCTCTGCAGAAAAATCCCCAGATGAAAAGATTGCAGCAGAATTTCATTTGACTCAGATTATCTAGAAAATGATACAATTGCATTTTCCTTAAGTTTTTGAGTGTTTTTTATGAGAATGTTTAATGCCAGAATTCTCCACGTTATTTTTTGATTCTCCATTTTGCTCTGAGCACAATTGCTGTGTTGTAATCTCTAGTGAAGATAAAAATATTCATTATAAATAACTCACCGAGGTCAACTTTCTCTTAAAA